CCTCCAGAGCTTCCAGGGGCCCCGGGCCCGTGTCCTGAGCCAGACGTCCGAAGAACTCAAAGCCAGCACGCCTGGCCCAAGTCGCCGCCGACTTCGTTTGGCGCCATGCTTGATACGGTGCTCCTGCAAGCCGGCGACATCGAACGTCAGCTTCTTGTCCCTGCTCCGCTCCAAGAAGGCCTGACCGCTGGCCCACGAGTTGGTATTTGCCGACGCTATCAAGAGCTTGTCGGGCGCCTTGTCAGCAGCGATGCGCTGCTGACCGCCTGCGCTAGGGGCAGGGGGAACTCCTGCACCTCGAGCTGCGCTAGCCCTCGACCCACCGACGGAAGGTCGACGAGCACGAGTCTCCAGCCCACCTCGCCGAGGCCCAGATCCGCCGCAGACCTGGGGCCCCTGCTTCCCCGCGCCCTCCTCCGAAGCGGACGCGGTCCTGCTAGGCCTGCCTCTCGCACTCGCCTCCTCCGACGGCGACCTGGCAGGCGCCGCGGCAGCGGCCCCGCGGGCGGCGCCAGCAGCACGCCAGGCACCGAGCGGAACTCCTCCTCCGCCTCGGCCATGGAGCGCCCGTGCCGCGACGCCTGCTCCTCCCACTCCTGCGCGTCGGACTGGGCCAGCCTGCGCATGTTGGCGCGGTAGTTGGCACGAGTGCGCCGCCGTGCGGCCCGCGCCTCCTCGCAGAAATCCTGCGCCATCCTGAGTCTGACCACGCCCATGTTGTCGATGCCTACCATCCGAGCAGCCTCGGAGACGAGTGGCGTCCACGTGCCGTGCGTCAGCAGGTCGGCCACGTAGGACACGCACAAGCGCAGCCAGTGCGCTCTATCTCCAGCTTCGTCGAGCACAGAGACGTCCTGGAGCCAGAACGTGGTGTAGGCCCTCAGCCTCCTCTCGAGCGTCATGCGCGCCGACGCGGCCGCTCGCCTCGCAGGGTCCTGGTCCTTGGCCTCCGCGATGCCCCCAGCAACTTCACGACCCGCAGCAGCTCCTTGAGAACTAGGCCTGCCTTCATGTGGCGACTTCTGCCGTCCCTCCGCCGGTTCCCGCTCGCAGGGTACCTCACGTGGGTCCAGGGGCTCGAGTGAACCCCAAGCCCTGCGTGGGTTTCGTCTGCGAACGGGTCTCCAGCTTCTCAGGGACAGCGAGTGCGCCGCTCGACGCGGAAGCCGAAGTACACGACCCACTTGTGGTCTCCTTGTGCCATTGCCCTCTTCGTTGGCTCTCCTAGCCTGAGGGGTGGCAACCTTGAGTGCTCCGCGTCTCTCCATGTCGGAGGAGAAGCACCGGTCTGGGCGGCTTGCAGGGATATGGCACCCCAGCTCAGGCCACTCCAAGTCGTGCGCGTTGGACCCCCGGAACTTCCCGAGGTCCGCCAAGCCTTGGCGCATGCTTTCCTGTCTATGGTCAAACACGCTGCCGTTTTGCTGCCAGCGCTTGTGCATCCAGGAACTTGGGGGCCACCCGCTTGAGCTGGTCGACGTCCTCAGGCTTGTCCAGATCGAAGGCTGGACGGGGGCCCCCCAGCTTCTCCACCTCAGCGGCCACCTGGTCGGCGAGGTCCTGGTCCACCTCGAAGTCGGGCACCTCCACTTCCATGCCTCCGCTGGCTGCGCCACCACCTGCAGGGGCCCCGCGGCCGTCGGCAGCAGGGGCACCTCCAGTACTGGGGGCTTCCTTGGCTGCAGCTGCAGCTCGCTCTGCGACCAGGAGCTTCTCCTTGGTTTTGGCGGCGACAGCACAGGCGTCCGCGAGGCTCGCCTTGCCATCCTGCATGTCCCCGTTCTGGCCGAGGGCGTCGAGGGGCAGCGCCAGCTGGTCAAGGAGAGTGACCGTGCCCCCCTTGGTGCCCATGGCAGCCTCTGCACACTTGGTCTTCTCGATCGCCTCCAGCTCCGCCAACTTGGCCTCGTGCTCGCGGAGCTGTCGCAACTCCGCGTCGTGGGCCTCTTGCGCAGCCGCCAGCTCCTCGGCTCGCTCCGCCACGCGTACCTTGGCCTTCTCCACCTGCTTGCTCTTGTCCGACTTCCTCTGGAGCACCTGGGCCAGCGGCTCCGAGGCGATGTCGGCCACCTCCTGCTTGGGCGGAGCTGGTGCCACCACGGAGAGCTGGCCTTCGGTGAGGCTGTCCTTGCCAGCCGCCACCAGCGCCTTGTTGGTGGCTTCCAGCAGCTCGGCGACGCTGAGGTCCACGACGGCCTTCGCCTCACTGCCGTTGCCTCCAGCTCCCTTGCAGCCGAAGTGGGACGACCAATTCTTGGCTTTGTCCCACTGGGCACCGCGAGCTTGACCCTTCGGCTTGGCCTTGGCCTTACCTTGGGGCTTGGCGGCTCATGCGGCGCCTCCTCCTTCATCGCGCCACGGCGCAGCTCCGAGGCTGAGGGGCTGGCAGGACTTGAGGGCGGCCAGAGTGCTGGGCGGCGCCTTGGCCCCACGCGCTCTGCACTCCGCCCTGCTGATGTAGTTCGGGCAACCTCCGCACTTGCCCGTGCAATCCCACTGT